ACTGCGAGCTGGCGAGCAAACAAAATAACAGTACGAGCCGGCGAGCAAACAAAAAAACACTACGAGCTGGCTAGCAAACAAAATAACACTACGAGCTAGCGAGCAAACAAAATAACAATCTGAGCCGGTGAGCAAACAAAATAACACTACGAGCTGGCGAGCAAACAAAATAACACTACGAGTCAGTGTGCAAACAAAATAACACCCTGAGCCGGCAAGCAAACAAAATAACACTCCGAGCCGGCGAGCAAACAAAATAACACTACGAGCCAGCGAGCAAACAAAAAAACACTACGAGCTGGCTAGCAAACAAAATAACACTACGAGCTAGCGAGCAAACAAAATAACACTCTGAGCCGGTGAGCAAACAAAATAACACTACGAGCTGGCGAGCAAACAAAATAACACTACGAGTCAGTGTGCAAACAAAATAACACCCTGAGCCGGCAAGCAAACAAAATAACACTACGAAACACTACAAAATAACACTACGAGCTGGCGAGCAAACAAAATAACACTCTGAGCTGGCGAGCAAACAAAATAACACTACGAGCCAGTGAGCAAACAAAATAACACTACGAGCCGGTGAGCAAACAAAATAACACTACGAAACACTACAAAATAACACTACGAGCTGGCGAGCAAACAAAATAACACTCTGAGCTGGCGAGCAAACAAAATAACACTACTAGCCAGTGAGCAAACAAAATAACACTACGAGTCAGCGAGCAAACAAAATAACACTGCGAGCTGGCGAGCAAACAAAATAACACTGCGAGCTGGCGAGCAAACAAAATAACAGTACGAGCTAGCGAGCAAACAAAATAACAATCTGAGCCGGTGAGCAAACAAAATAACACTACGAGCTGGCGAGCAAACAAAATAACACTACGAGTCAGTGTGCAAACAAAATAACACCCTGAGCCGGCAAGCAAACAAAATAACACTCCGAGCCGGCGAGCAAACAAAATAACACTACGAGCCAGCGAGCAAACAAAATAACACTACGAAACACTACAAAATAACACTACGAGCTGGCGAGCAAACAAAATAACACTCTGAGCCGGCGAGCAAACAAAATAACACTACCAG